TAAAAAGAGAAAAAGAAATGGCCCCTAGGTAAGCATATATTTTCTATCTTTTTTCTGTCTTTATGTGTGGCTATGGATATATGTATAATTTACACTATTGAGGTAATGTTCTCTATACAGTTTATATCCACCACATTTGTATAATTATTTACTATTCTAACTATAAATATAATTATTTAGAACATAAAATAAACAACAACAAAAAAACAGACAAAACAAGGATTTTTGGAAGACAGTATAAATAATGGGGTGAAACCCGATCAAATATACAAACATACCATGAAAACTACTAGAAATAAACAATGTGCTAATGGCTGACAAATACCACCATTAATTTTAATCTATATGATTGTTTACCTAAGAAAGGCAAAATAATATGTGGGAAGATCTCTTCAAATAACATATTGAGGAACCTTAATGAAAAACCTGAAAAAACTTAGAAAAAAAAAGATAAAATTCTTTTGAGTACTCTATTAGAAGATGTTAATAAATGGAGAGAATTTGAGTCTGGTTAGACGTTAGAGGATGATGAACAAATGGCTGTGGGTGAGGAAAAAAACATTTTCATAAAAAAACTACATATAAGGCTTGCAACAAACAAACAAAAACATGGAAGAAAACATAGGCACCAAAATTATGGACCTTGGTCTTAGAGAGGATTTTATGAATTTGACCTCAAAGGCAAGAAAAGTAAAAGCAAAAATAAATGAATGGGACTACATCAAACTAAAAAGCTTCTGAACAAAATAAATCACCAACAAAACTAAAAGGCAACCAACCGAATGGGAGAAGATATTTGCAAACAACAGTTCCAACAAGGGGGTGAAATACAAAATATAGAAAGAACTCATACATCTCAACACCAAACAAATAGTCCAATAAAAAAATGGGCAGAGGACCTGAGCAGGCACTTCTCCAAAGAGGACAAACAGATGCCCAATAGACAAGAGAAGCTGCTCAACTTTACTAACTATTGAAGAAATGCAAATTAAAACCACAATAACATATTACTTCACACCTGGTTGTTATAACCTGAATAGTTATTATCTTTAAAAAATTTTTTTTCTTTATTGATTTGTTAGAGAGAGAGGAAGAGAGAGGATAGAAACATTGATGAAAGAGAACATTGATTGGCTGCCTCCTACATGCCCCCCACTAGGGATTTGGCCCACAACCTGGGTATGTGCCCTGACCAGGAATTGAACTGGTGACCTCTTGGTGCATAGGTCGATGCCCAACCACTGAGCCACACTAGGTGGGTTAGAATGGTTATTATCAACAAGACAAGTAACAAGTGGAGAGATTGTGGAGAAAAAGGAACCCTCATTCATTGCTGGAGGGAATGTATATTGGTATAGCCTTAGTGGAAAACAGTATGGAGGTGCCTCTAAAAATTAAGAATAGAGTTACCATATGACTCAACAACTATACAGGTTTCATATATACAAATCTACAACACTTCATCTGTATATTGTATTGTGTGTTTACCATCCAAAGTCAAATCTCCTCCCTTCACCACATATTTTATCCTTTACTATCCCCATCCCCCTTTCCCTCTGGTAATCAACATATAATTTGAAAGATTTGAAGACATTTATTCGCAAAGATATATGTACCCCTATGTTCATTGCAGCATTATTCACGATGGACAAGACATGGAAACAACTGAAGTGTCCATCATTAGATGATTGGATAAAGAAGATGCGGTATATATATACCAGCTATAAGAAAAGATGAAATACTGCCATTTGCGACAACATGAATGGATCTTGAAAACATCATGCTAAGCTAAATAAGTCAGATTGAAAATGTCAAGAATCATATAATTTCACTTATATGTGGGATATAAAACTTACAGCAACAAACAAGACAAACAAACAAAAAACTCATAGACACATAATAGTACGGTGGTTACCAGAGAGAAATAGGGGGTGGGGGTTGTAAAGGGTAAAGGGGGTCAGATATATGGTGATGGAAAGAGACTTGACTTTGGATGGTGAACACACAATAAATATACAGATGATGTATTGTAGAATTATATACCTGAAACCTGCACAATTTTATTAACCAATGTCACCCTAATAAATTCAATTAAACAAAAAGAAATTTTCTGGTAAGAATAATGAACCACATTTGCTTTTGTTTGTTTTTTTAAGAAGAATAATACGACTTTCAAGCGCATAGGTTTCTACAGTCTGGATGTTAGGCATATGTTTAAGTTAGACATAAATATATTGAATAACAATTTTTCATGAGCCATTTGAACATCAGCCACCTTCCTTCCAGTTTCATAAAAAGAAAGAAAGAGGAAAAACTGGTAGTTTCATAGTAGAAATATTGCTCAAAGAGTTTGACATTTAACACTCCCTAGGATCAAAAGGAAAGCAAGAGCCCTGGCCGGTTTGGCTCAGTGGTTAGAGTGTCGGCCTATGGTCCAGAGAGACCTGAGTTGGTTCCTGCTAAGGGCATGGACCTGGGTTGCAGTTTGTCCCCGGCCCTGGTTGGGTTGTGCAGGTGGCAGCCACTCTGTGTGTCTCTTTCACGTAGATGTTTCTCTCTTTCTCTCTTTTCCTCTCTCTCCCTCCCACTCTATCTGAACAAAAAATGGAAAAATGTCCTTGGGTGAGGATTAAAAAAAGGAAAGCAAGATATTAAAGCATCTAACATAAGTGTTCAGTCCTCGGTAAAGCTGTGTGTCTCATTTACTTGCTACAATATCTCAGAGAAGGGGGGTGAGACTTGATTCAGCTCCTGCCAGCAAACTTGTAACACCTACTATGTGAAAGACACTGTGCTGGGGGCTTAGGGGACACAAAGATGGCCCAGACAGACATACCCAAGAGCTAATTCTCACAGTTATATGACTAAGAATGAAACTTAAAGGAGACATAACCTAGCACAATTGAGGAAGAACATGCAGCATTCAAGCAGCTACTGAAAGAAGAATTGGGCTAGACAGCCAACCAAATAAATAACGACCTCTGACGCACTGGCCAGAATGCAAGTGGAGCATGGATTGAGGAGGAGTTCAGGGTGCTAGCATGGAAAGGTAAGTTTGAGATCCACCATCCAGTGGACAATTTGAGGGTCATTACCCAACATGCACAGTCTTTCTACCCACACCATGACCAGGTCAATTCCTAAGAAAAAACTAAAATCACCTCTTCCTGCAGCACATTTTCTCCTTGTCTCCATCCATTATTCCTGAACTCCTGACTTTCTCTCTTCTGTGTCCTCTGAAATCTGCATCTCAAAATGGAGCTTCTACATGCCCTTTCATTTAAATGTGATAATTTTCTGTTCCTTGATGGAAGCTTTGCACCCTCAAATACAGGGACTGCATTGAATTCTGCCTCTTCAAATATCTGGCAAAATAGAACTGAGTATCTCTTGATGGGACATTTTACTTAAACATTTTTGAGGTGATATAAAGTTTCTTTTCATCTCTTTCTAATTGCCTATACCCTGAGAAGTACAGATAAACAAATCCACTAACAATTGCTTGAAAACAAACAACCAACCAACCTTCTCCAACATAGGATTTGGTACGTATAGGCAAGTAGTATCCGAAATGTGAGAAGAAATTAGTGATTGATAATATGACCAAGTTTCTCATCACTGTATAGTTCCATTACTGGTATGTGCTTCACTCTAAAAACCTGTCACCCAAAATACACTCACTTTCTAAATATAATATATACACTGCTGCTTTTTCACTTATTTTAATAAAACTGTCTAAATGAGTCCATAGTAATACAGAAAACAGAGAATAATAACATTGGATATAATCATAAGTCACATGCCATCTGCCTCTCTCTCTCTCTCTCTCTCTCTCTCTCTCTCTCTCTCTCACACACACACACACACACACACACTGAGGAAAAGAAGATGTTCTTGTTCTGATGCTACCAATACCAGAGACATGAATTTTAAAACAGTATTTCAGTTATTGGGAGGGGCAGGATGATGGCAGAGTAATATGGGGAGAATGGAGCCAAGGAAAACTATTTCTAAACAATAGTTGGCATAAAACATCACTGTAGAATTAATAGCACATCTAATGGTTTTAACTATTTTGCATTCTTTATGAATTTTTTCTGACCCACTGGAATGTGACCAATAAAAGATCAGTTAAGTGTTTTTAAATAATTTGTGTGTGTTAATTTTCTGCCCCTAAACTGAATGTTTACACCCCAAAGACAGGCATTATTTTGCCTTCTGGTTCTGGCTTTGCCCTGACAAGTATCTGGTAGAATAGGTACAAAGCATTGTAGTTCAAAAAAGAGGTGAAAGATGGTTGATTGGCTGACAAGGTGTGACTTATAGAATGACACAGTAGATCTCTATAGAGCTGCATGATATTTGAAGAAATATCTATACAGTCCAGAACCTAAGTTTCAATTCCCCCACATTGCTATCTTGAAACCTTTCTGCAAAGTGAGCATAATTATATGCTCACTGTGTTATATTGACAGTTATATGAGATAAAAAATATAAATCTTGGTGATCACAGGTATTTGATGTCCAATCCTTAGAGAGGCAAGGTATGAAAGCCATCAGGAAGGCCAGCTCTGGGGTCACACAACCTAGTTTTCTATCATAGCTCTCCCATTCACAGACTGTGTGTTTTGGTTTGGTTTTGTAGCCCCGCTGGACCTCATAATTCATTTGTTAATTGGGAATAATGATTACACACACCTTATAGAGTTATCAGGGATGACTAAGGGAAGTAAAATATGTGAAATACTTTGCAACATGCCTGCACACAGGACACAATCAGTATACCTCAGCTTACGGCAATTTATTATCATCAATAACATCTTACCACAACATGCATACAGCCTGAGACCTCTGCTCAAATTTAGGCCTGTCTGTCTGAGTACAAATATCATTACATCTTCCCCTCTCTTCCTGAGATAGGGGAAGGACCATGCTAAGTCATTTTAATTCCTAAGCTCCCTATTGAGCCCAAGGGAGGAACTGAGTTTACATGAACTTACATGTTCAGAAGTCCCTTCCAGGCAGACAAGAAGTTGATGTTTTTTCTGCAACACAGCTTTCGATGTGTCATCAAAAACAGATTTTGTCAGTGTAGTACTTATTTTCTTATTGGGAGACTGTTGTGGTAACTGGTTTGGTGATTATCAGAGGGCTCTACAGGGAAAACAGATCAAATTATTTACACATCATAAAAATCAAAACACATGTCTTAACCTTGACACCATTTTGAAATAGCATAGCGGTGATCTGGGCCTTATGCTAGAGGCATGAGAGACCTGTTCATATTCGCCAAGAGAGGGCACTAGAGACCAAAGAATGGATCATGGAACACCAAAGCAAAGGACAACACCACTAAGGTAAAGGTGCTCACATATGCACGCAGGAGCCTCTGCTTCCAACTGCTTCCCACAGCAGGGAGTGGAGCCACATTGCCTGGCTGCCCTGAGTGCTGTTCTTACTTCAGTACCCCAGCCACTGACCTGACTGAGCCTCTGTTTAGAGCTCCCACTTGAGGGACTTTGTACTTTTGCAGCACTCCTCTCCTATACCTGTTTATAGTGTTTGCTTGGGATTTTCTCAATCAGTCTAATTCTTTCTGCTTACTGCATTTCAGAGATTTCCTGTAATTTTTCAGGCACAGAGCAGTTCCCTCTTTCTTACTTTCAAGTGCAATTTTGAATCAAAGATAAATCTCTATTCTGGCATGATCTGAGACTTATGTCTGGAGCAAAAGGGTAGAGCATCCTCTCAGGCTGCTATCTGGATGCCATATCTAAGTGGAATGGAAACAGGAAATACCTGAAAACCATTGCTTGCGTGGATATTTTACACTTAAGTATTGCTGGTATCTCCGATGATTACCAGGGGAAAGACCCAAATGACAAATTGGATGTTAAGACCTCTAGAGAGGAAGATGGCAGCGGGCAGGACCAGAGGGAGAGTGAGTGTGTGAGAGAGTGTGAGTGGATGCGAAGGTGGACAACCAAACCCGAGCAGTGCAGAGACGCAGAGCAGAAGGTTCCTGTGCTATGGACGGGAGCAGCCGGCTACCATGGTAAGTGGCCCTTCAGGGCACTTCTCGTCACACCATTTTGGAAGATCCTGGGTCTTCCCTGGGAGGAGGCAGTGGGAGCGGCTAGGGCCCAGCAACCTGAGCCCACCAGCGCACCTGGCACCATCGGACCAGTGGGCACTCTGTGTCAACACTGACCAGTGCACAGTAGTGGAGCTTCCAAGGTGCTGGTCTCGAAAGCCACAGACAGCCTGGAGCCCAGCACCATCCCCCATAGTATCAGCCCTATCAGAGTGGAGATATACCCCCAGCAACAGAGACTGGGGAGTAGACATCCATCCCCTGGCAACAGAGGCACAGACCACCAGCTGAGACCCATCCCCAAAACCGACAGCCAAAGCTGAGCAGGAGTTGAGACCCACGGGGCAGCAGCACTCCCCAGACCCAAGTGGCGGGACCTGGGGCTCCACAGAGGCCTGTGCAGTCCAGTAGCTCATAAAAGCAGTGGGAAGTCTGAGCCCTAAAGAGACTGGTGCAATCCAGCTGCTCACCCACGGGACCTGCAGGGTGCTGGAGCACCAGGAAGGCCCGTGCCACCCAGCTGTGCACAAGATACACATAGAGGATGTGAAAAACGAAGGTGGAATGAATAGAAGCTACATAGAGGATCTCCCAGGACCAAACAGGAATTACAACTAAAATAAAGACAAATCATCGGAAATAAGCAACAGAAAAGAAGCAGGACAGGACCATATAACCAGGGACATGGGTAGGATCTGCGGAGGCACGAGAGGGTGGCGGGCTGGGAGACCATGGACAGCAGCAGTCTTAGCTGTGAGCAGCGCCCTTGGGGAATAAAGATCAAGTCCGCTCCTCAGTGCAGAGAGCCAGGACAGAGCTATAAAATAGCCACAACCACTCACCTGGGGGTTATGACAGAAGGAGGGCAGACTGAGCTGGAACTCTGTCGGGACGCCTGGGATTTGGAGGGCACTCAGAGTTTTGGCTGAGTTGTTGCCACAAAGGACGGTGGTCAGTGTGCTCCTTCCCCAAGCTGTGGGGAAAAGCAGCAGCCCACCCCCACCAGAGATTCAACCGTTTGCAGGTAAGGCAAAGAAATGCAAATTGAGGCTCATTAATAACCAGCATCTATCCCACACTCTGGAAATCCTCTTATGCATAACACCAGGGCTACATTCCAAGGCACTGAGTAACTAAGACTACTAGCCACCAAGAAAAACCTAGAGGATAACTGAACCTTTCCTGGGCTTGCAAATCTATCCAGGAAAGTAAGATTTGACAGTGGTATTTAATGTGGACCCACCCAGGCTCATCCAAACCCAGCAGAGGGAGCCACAAACAGCAGAACACCAACACCACAGGGAAAATTTGGCAGGCTCCAAAACCCACTGAGATAGCCAAAATGGTGAAACAAAGAAACAAATCCCAAATAAAAGAACAAGAGAATTCTATCGAAGATGAGATCAATGAAATGAAGCTAAGCAAATTATCAGAGATAGAGTTCAGAGCCATGATCTTGAGGAAGCTCAACAGCATGAGTAAGGACATCAATACCATGAGTAAAGATATAGAAACATTGAAAACCAACCAAGTGGAAATGAAGAATGACATAGCAGAAATTAAGAACACATTGGAAGGACTAACCAGCAGAGTAGAGGAAGCTGAGGACCAAATCAGTGAATTAGAAGACAGGGTAGAAAAAAATCAACCAATCAAAAAACCAAAAGGAAAAAACAATTAAAAAACAGGAAGATAGCTTATGAGAACTCTGAAACAACTGGAAACGTAATAACATTCGCATCATAGCAGTCCCTGAAGAGGGAGAAAATGGGCAAAGGTTAGAGAATATATTTGAAGAAATAATGACAGAAAACTTTCCTAACTTGTTGAAAGAAGAAGGCATTAAACTTTAAGAAGCACAGAGAGCCCCAAATAAGAAGAACCCAAACAGGCTCACAACAAGACACATAGTAATTAAAAGGCCAAAAATTAAAGACAAAAAGAGACTCCTAAAAGCAGCAAGAGATAAGCAACAGGTTACCTATAAAGGAAATCCCATAAGGCTCTCAGCTGGCTTCTCAATAAAAACACTACAGGCCAGAAGGGAATATCATGAAGTAATCAAGGTCATGAAAAACAAGGATCTGAATCGAAGACTACTCTACCCAGCAAGGCTATCATTCAAAATAGAAGGTTAATACAGAGTTTTTCAGACCAAAAAAAAAAGGCTAAGGGAATACATTAGAACCAAACAAGCACTGCAATAAATGTTAAAAGGACTGCCGTAATAAGTAGAGGAAATAGGAAGAAAAATAGAACCACACAAAACAAAAATGGCAATAAATATGTACATATCAATTATCACCTTAAATGTGAATGGTTTGAATGCTTTGATAAAAAAGACACAGAGTAGCTGACTGGAAAAGAAAGCATGACTCACATATATGTTGTTTGCAAGAAGCCCACCTCACAACAAAAGACTCACATAGGATGAAAGTGAAGGGATGGAGAAAAATCTTTCAAACAAACGAAAAGCAAAAAAAAAGCTGGGGTAGCAATACTCACATCTGATCAAGTAGATTTCAAAATGAAGGCCATAACTAGAGACAAAGAAGGCCACTACATAATATTGAAAGGATCTATCCAACAGGAAAACATAACCTTGGTAAACATATATACACCCAATTTAGGAGCACCAACATATATTAAATATCTTCTGGAGCACTTCAAAGTAGAAATAGATAGCAATACAATCATAGCAGGGGACTTCAAAACCCCGCTGACATCACTGGATAGATCTTCTAGACAAAAAATTAACAAGGAAACACAGAATATAAATGAAGTGCTAGATCAAATGGATTTCATAAATATCTACAGAGAATTACATCCAAAAACTGCAGAATTCACATTCTTCTCAAGTGAACATGGGATATTCTTAAACATAGACCACTGGTTAGGGCACAAACTAAGTCTCTATAAGGTCATGAAGATTGAAATCATATCAAGCATCTTCTCAGATCACAATGGCATGAAAGTAGAAATCAAGTGCAACAACAACTTGCAAAGACATTTGAAAACATGGAGGCTAAATAGCATGTTATGGAACAATGAATGGGTTACCATGGAGATCAGGGAAGAAATTAAAAACTTTCTGGAAACCAATGAAAATGAACACACAACAACACAAAATCTATGGGATTCAGCAAAGCAGTCCTGAAAGGGAAGTTCATAGCACTACAGGCCTACCTCAAGAAGCAAGAAAAAATTCTAATAGACTATTTAACCTCACAACTTAAAGAACTAGAAAGCAAACAAAAAGAAAACCCCAGAGCAAGTAGAAGGAAGGAAATAGTAAAAATCAGAGCAGAGCCCTGGCCGGTTTGGCTCAGCGGTTAGAGCGTCGGCCTGCGGTCCTGAGAGACCCAGGTTCGGTTCCCGCTAAGGGTGCGTACCTCGGCTGCAGTTTGTCCCCGGCCCTGGTCGGTTGTGCGGGTGGCAGCCACTCGATGTGTTCCTTTCACATCGATGTTTATCTCTCTCTCTCTGTTCCTCTCTCTCCCTCCCATTCTACCTGAACAAAAAATGGAAAAAAGTCCTCAGGTGAGGATAAAAAAAAAAAAATCAGAGCAGAAACAAATGACATGGACACCAAAAAAACAATTCAAAGGATCAATAAACAAAGAGCTTGTTCTTTGAAAACATAATCAAGATTGACGGACCATTAGCTACACTCACCAAGAAACAAAGAGAGAGAAACCAAATACACAAAATCAGAAATGAAAGAGGAGAAATAATAACTGACACCACAGAAATATAAAGTATTGTTAACAGATATTATGAATAATTATACAGCAACAAATTTGACAATCTAAGCAAATGGACAAATTTCCAGAAACACAGTCTCCAAAAATTGAACTGGGAAGAGATAGAAAACTTAAACAGACCAATAACAGCTAAGGAAATTGAAGACATAATCAAGACTCTCCCAGCAAACAAAAGCCCAGGTCCGGATGGCTTCACGGGGAAATTTTACCAATAATATATCAGACAAGGGGTTAATTTCCAATATATATAGAGTGCTCATACAACTCAACAAAATGAGGACAAAGAACCCAATTAA